GCTACTGCGTTTACATGACCAAGTGCGTTTTCCGCTTATTAAGCATAATCGGTTTAAGAACGTGCATGCGTGCAACTTACTGCAATTGAGATCTAAAGGATTTTACGAGTATATGCTTATTCTGTGCAATATATACTTTTTTGTCAAATTGTCCTTCAACCTTGTACTGGCGCTTTAACATAGGCTGAAAGTAGCAAGCTAACATTAATTGTGGGGCTGCTGCTCGGTATAATAGTTTTCAGGAACATTATGTAAATTGGTAAACTATTTAGCCTAGGCTACTAAAACGAACACAAACTTAACATGAACTGTTAAAAATGATAGCAATTTATGCAAAAAAAAATTGATGGAAAGCTGGCAGCCTGCACGTTTTTTTACCTTGACCAACTTCTTCCATATGCATCAATTTTCTGTTCTGATCTCAACAAGTCTGGGCAAACTAGCCTATTGAGCAGGCACCCATCAGAGGCCGCATTTTTATGATGTCATTAGGTAGACTTCTTACAAAGTATTTTATAGTATTTTAAAACTACAATAATACAAAACACTAAAGTATTTTGATACAAAATACGAAGCCATTTTCATCAACCCTATCAAATACAAATTACAAAATACTATTTTGTATATGAAATACGTATTACGAGCGCGTCTGATTTCGCTCCCTTTGTGATGTGGCAAAGGGATCTCATTATAATATTACTGCCCCTTAATCTGTAAGTTTACACCCGTAAAATAACGGCGGCACCGTTATTTTGATTTCACAAGCGACAACGGTGTACCAGTTTTAACGCCATGGCGAAAGTTTGAGCAAAACTTGCCAACTGTTCTGTCTTTGGCTGCACAGACGAGCACAGAACACTATTTAGAGTCCCAGCCTCAGAGGAGACAAGAGAGCAGTGGATTTATTGATTTATTTACTGTATATTTCTGCTGCCACACAGATCTAAAATGTATTTTCCTACTACCTTCACAGACATAACCGACTGTTTTTGTAACTCGTGTGTTTTTAACATAAACTTGTGTGTGAATGAGAACTTAGTTTATTACTCACATGCTGTCTGGTGGCCACTTTCTGTCCGTGTGCTTCGGTTGTGTGCGCTCAGAAAACCGTATATCAGATGTTTAAACTAATATGGTTTAAAACGCATGATTTCAGCGCGATAAACATGAAAATCAGAACCAAAACAGATGTTTTTTGCAGGTCCAAGCTGTAATGGCACAGCTCTATTCTGGAAAAGGGGGCGGGGAGCAGCAGCTCATTTGCATTTAAAGAGACAGGCCCGAAAACCAGCATGTTTCTGCTTCCACTCAAAATAGGCATTTTCAAAATGATATAATAAATGATCTGTAGAGTATTTTGAGCGGAAACTTCACAGACACATTCTGGGGACACCAGAGACTTATATTACATATTGTAAAAAGGGGCATAATATGTCTCCTTTAAGCATGTAAGTCTACAGTATCATATTTGATAGCCTACTCAAATTTCTAAAGCCTCTAAATTATCAACAAGATCAAAACATTGCTGAAAAACCTGTTGTACGCAATCTTTTACATGCAATCTTAATAAGGCATCTTTGGAAGCTATAGTTTCAACTGATATTTATATGCATTTTATTTAAATAAATAGTCTGCTATAATTTTTCTGGCTAATATTTTTATGCCAGGCTTTACAAGGTTAATATTCCATGTGCCATTTATCCTATTGGGATATCCCATTTTTTTATTCATGTCTTGTAGGAAATACTGTCATTCACAACAACAAGGACAGAGTTGTTTCCACAGACTTAGTAATTATTGTTTCCTATGGCAACACTCATAATGTCATTTTATTGTTGATGCCCACAAAATTCTTACCAAACTGATGTACTGTGCATGTGACTAATCGTAATCGCACTGCTCCAAGTGGGATTCAAACCAGCATCAACCAGCAGGCAGTCACTAATACGCCTCTTGAGGCCAGGAGAGTGAGGTTTACCTGTGCTCTATGTGCTTACAATATATATTAAGTTATTCTCCCACCTAGTGTATTAATTTAGTATAGATATTAAGAATAGTGTGTCTCTTAATAGAACATAACATTTTCATTTTTTTACAACAGGGAAGCAAAATGACGTTTCAACCTGATGTGATGCTGCTACATTTAGACCCTCACCTTCCGCTACATATAGGAAAAGCTTAGACTACTGAATACATATTAAAAATGCGATGTGAGAAAACATCTTAAATATGATGCGATTTAAATTTTTCCTTTCTCTTTGGAGTGTTACAAGCTCTTGGTGCATAAAGAAGATCTATAAAGTTACAAAGACTAAAGTCTCAAATCCAAAGAGATATTCTTTACAAACGTTAAGAGTCAGCCACACTTACCTAAAATGGCTCGTTCTAACACACCCCCACATATCTACATCACTATGTGGGAAGATTTGCATAACGCCGCCCAAATGTTCACGCAAAGAAAGAAGGCGTAACTTTTATTCTCGCTGTAGTATTGTTGTTGCCGCCGCCATGTCGTGAAGGCGCTGTGTGATTCGTTGTGAAAGCGAAACTACTTTGTTTGGCCTTCCAAAAGAGGACGATATCTGCCGTGATCACGAAGCAGAGTCCAGCCCGGGGTCGTCACATGTGGTTGCCGCAAGCCCTCCGGACGCTCCTTCGTTGAATCCGCCTCCTCTGCTCACTCTAGCCCTCCGGCCGTTCCTCACGCTAGCCCCGGGCCTCTGCTCACTCTAGGCCACCGTGTGTGACGCTGTGTTTCGTTGTGAAAGCGAAACTACTTTGTTTGGTCTTCCAAAAATGGACACGACTAGAAATCAGTGGTTAAGTTGTATTTACAACACTGTTCCAGAACACTTCAACCCAAATATTCGGATGTGTGCAGCACATTTTATGGAGGACCGTTTCCTGATCCTGGAAGAGACTCACAAACTGTAAGTACGTTTTTTATATTTAAAGAGTTTTTATATTTGATATATTTAAAGCGTGTTTATTGGGCAGTGTAGAGTAGGGCTTGTTGTTTGTCATTTCTCCGATCACAAATGCAGACATGGTTTTATGTTTACGCGGCGCGATGCAACGCAACGTGTAAAAAGACAGTATAAGTCATTATAATCCATAATTATGTCCCCACTGGATGCAACGAATGCCTCGTTTATAATGGGTTTTCATGTTTTTGAATCATCGCTCCGGCCTGACAGGGCATCATCACAATATGGTAAGGGGCGTAACATTTCCGTCACATGCTTGAGGTATTCGGCCAATCACAACGCACTGGATAGCTGGCCAATCACAGCACACCTCGCTTTTTTAGAACGATGAGCTTTGTAAAAATCGACGCGTTTCAGAAAGGCGGGGCATAGAGGAGATTGCTGGTGTCTCAGCCTGGTCTGATGTTGGTTTTAAATGGGACACTTTTCAGGTGGTCAAACTGGGAGAAGCTGATCACCTGGCTAAACACCATCTTGGCCAACTGGGAGAGCAGCTTATCCTGTTATAGAACAGCAAATCATCCAAGGCTGGTTTAAGCAGACTTTTAATCACAACTTTTATTCACAAATATATTTTGTTCAAAATATGTTTTTTTTATTTTATATTCTATTAAACGAAAAAAAAAATCTAAATACCTAAATTCCTTTAATAGCTGAAGCTGCTTCCGGTTTAGGTGGCTTTACAGTTTTAAATGACAGCTGTCAAGTGGGAGAAGAGCTTTCACAAAAGTTGATGCTTCCAGCTAGCCTACTTATCATCATGGTTTCAAAAAAACAGAACACACACCATACTGTACATGTTCTGTTGTACTAAAACAATACGCTATATTAAATACAAAATTAAAATGTGTAATTATCAGTGTTGGGGAAAGTTGCTTTTAAAAGTAATGCATTACAATATTGCGTTACTCCATAAAAAAGTAACTAATTACGATACTTAGTTACTTTTTATGGAAAGTAATGTGTTACGTTACTTTTTAAATCTGGACAGGGCTTGCTTGTTTGTTTTTTAAATTAAAAAGTTCTATTTTTGGCTAATATAAAAGCCTTTTCACACCAAAAGTGAAATGAATTGCTGGCTGAAGGGAAAGTAAATTTTCGTCCGGACTCTTTACAGTAGAATGCAGAAGAAGAAATTTCAACACAACTGGATCATCGAAGGTCAGAAGCAAAGACATTGGTTAATAGAATGGGATTAAATACATAAAGCATATTTGTGTTGTTTAAAATTTAATTATTGCAGGTTTGCGTCATATTCTGAGATGCATTATTTAGATTCATTTTGAGGAATACTGAATCTGTGGGGTTTTATTTTGTGTGTGAGTGAGATGAATTAATGCATATTCATATTTATTTTAGAGCTACAGTAACATCTTCTGATTTCTCTCAACATGGGGACAGGAGAGCTGTCAGTCAATAAATTGGGGGAAAAAAGTAATTTGCGTTACTTATTTGAAAAAGTAACTCAGATATTCTCTTGTAAATTAAAAAGTAATGTGTTACTTTACTAGTTACTTGAAAAAAGTAATCTGATTACGTAACTCGCGTTACTTGTAATGCGTAACACTGCTTATAAATGATGTACTTCTTCACCATATGTCCCCATAAAATGTGACTTTCTTTGCATTTTTATATACTGTATGTAGGCCACTGTGTCTGACACGTTTAAAAGTCTTCTGTCATTTAATAAGCAATCACTTTTGCACTATATGACTGATGCATCCCCTCGCCTTATGCCCCCCAGAAAGCTATTACTAATGTTTTATTGATTTTTATGCATGCATGGGATTAAATACATAAAGCATATTTGTGTTGTTTAAAATTTAATTATTGCAGGTTTGCGTCATATTCTGAGATGTATTATTTAGATTCATTTTGAGGAATACTGAATCTGTGGGGTTTTATTTTGTGTGTGAGTGAGATGAATTAATGCATATTCATATTTATTTTAGAGCTACAGTAACATCTTCTGATTTCTCTCAACATGGGGACAGGAGAGCTGTCAGTCAATAAATTGGGCACCTGTTCCTGCATGGCAATCGTATCCGTGTCCTGTCTGAAAATGCCTTCCGCGGCCTGGTGAATCTTGACCGCCTGTTGCTGCATGAAAACCGCATCCGACAAGTCCATCGGCGAGCCTTCCGTGATCTGGGCAGATTGACCATCCTCTATCTTTTCAACAACTCTCTGCAGGAGCTTCCAGGCCAGGCATTGAAGGATACGTCGTCGGTGCAGTTTCTCAGACTCAATGGTAACCCCTGGACCTGCGGATGTGAAGCCAGGTCGCTATGGGAGTGGTTCCGCAAAGCTCGTATCTCCAGCTCAGACCTAACCTGCTCTTCACCAGCCCCTCGTAAAGGCCAGGACCTGAGGTTCCTGCGAGAGCTGGACTTTGCCCTATGCCCGTTGCCTGATCCAGGATCCCTGGCTGGCACTACAACCACCACCTTCAGCACCAAGACCCGTTGGTGGTTCTCCAAGAACAAACCGGCCTCATCATCCAAGAGCCACTTTCACAAGAGCAGCGAAACCCTGAAGGCCTCTCCATTCACCTCTGTCAAACATCCCTCATCTTCATCATCCAAGTACGATCTCGCTGCGGAGGAGGCTGCTTTACCCAAGCTAGAGCCTGAAGAGTACTGGGCAAACTATGGCAATGAGGATGCAGCCTCAGTCCGCTGTTTCGAGCTTGAATGTCCACCAAGTTACGACTCTCCCATTCTCCCATCTTCCTCTTCGTCTTCACTTCTGTCCTTCCTCTCGCTCACAGCACTTACTCTCTCTTTTCACCTTCTCTTCGGCTGAGTTTTCCTTCTCCTCTTTTTCTTCTGTTATGCTTCACTACCTTTCTCCTGCAATCGGGCCTATGCTAAGAAATGCATAGAAGCAGCCATGCAGGAAAGGGTGACAAGACTGGCACACAACAACAAATTAAATACAACACACACTGTGCAATTCATACAGTACAACAGAGATAGGGCTACTGCATGCATGCACTCCCAGCAGGCTTTGCAACACCACCTCAAGTCACGTCCTTCTCTAAAATCAGAGAACACAGGACAAGTAGAGTGCAAAGAGAAAAAAGGGAGTGATGTGGAAAATGAAACTAGAGGTCAATGTCAAAGATGGCGGGGAATGTCTCTGCATGGAGTGGAAACTCTCATGCTGACAAAGGAGACTACGTCGGTTATCAATGACCATCACATCATAATGTAAATAGGAACATACACAAACTAGACAAACTTTTCCAAAAAGACACTGTCAGTAGATTAGAGAGTAGAACACTTTGTCTTTTTGGTGATTGTTGGGTACTAAACCAGATACACTATCACATACAGTTGCTCCAAAATGTATTTAGGCAATTGTGCTACAATGTCCACATTTCAAGAAGAGCATTTCACAAAAAAGTTTTAAAATTATAAAACAATAGCGATATTGTATTAGGACACATTCTGATTGTCAAAGTGAAATGTGCATAGTTGAAGTGATTCACTAAAAACAGATTGCTTTGATATTTTATTTCCTAATGCAATACAATTTTTAGGAGTGGTTTAAATGTCCAAATATTTTTGGGGCCACTGTAAACGATACGATGAACAGATAGCTAATGGAAGAACTGACTAACAAAGACCGTCGCTAATGTTTTTCATTTGTTAAAACCGTGTTAAGTACTTTGGTTTGTGCTAGTTAATCTGAGTTGTGCCAGGTACTTTTGAGTATCAGGTGAAGTTAGGGCAGGAAGTCAATGTTTAATTCAACCTGAAGAACTGCTTAAGGTGAGAGATCTGTGTTTTCTCTGTGTGCAAGATATCACATAGTCTTTCTCTCTTAGCACGTTGACAGAAAGAAATGTTAAACACAAATGTTGTCTTTGTCTAAAAAAAACCTTAATAAAACCACCATAAATAAATATTAATTATCATCGAGTGTTTTATTGAGTGATCTCTTGTTTTGCAGTATTTGATCTGTTGGTGTGTGAGCATGTGTGTTTATGCATTAACTAAGCACATGGTGATGCGATGGCAGTTCGATTTTTAAATCTCACCCCAATGTTAAAATTGCTAAAATACAGTTATTAAGTCCCCAACAGAGCATTCAGTTAGCTGCCAGTATGCATGTAAGAGACTATTTCACTTTGTTAATAAACACAAGCTAACATTAATATAAAAACTGATACAGTCATTTCTTTATTATTCAGAATTTCTCCCCTGACAAGTCACTAGACAACACCCTTCAGCAGTCCAAGTAATCTGAAACCCTTAGAAGAAAGGTGTATTGATCAGAGGTCTTTCATAGCACATTTAACGTCATAAACTTGATGTTTAGGAATCAACTTTATCTCTGATGTTTTTCCATAAATTTCTTAGGAGAAATAAAATAAATGAGAAAAAAATACTAAAATAATAAATATATGAAAAGGTATGATAATGTAGATAGCAAATGACAATCTGACCATTACAAGGAGACACACTGGAAATTATTTCTTGGGATAAACAGGCGACTCTCCATGCACTCTCTATTTAATCTGGTTTGCTGTGTAACAACAGGTCTTAAATAGGGCTTTCCTACGTCCATATGTGCGTAGAAACTTTCAAAATAACTTGACTGGAAATTTCTCCTTTGAAGACGCACTTGCTCTATTCTCCCACAGAGTGCTGTTTGTTCTAGGCTTTCTGTTCAGCATTGTTCTGCTGTCTTGTGTGTCAATCACTTGCATTCAGGCATTCATGAGCTCGCCATTCATTCATCTCTCGTTTCCTAAATCTCATCATCTCTAGAAACTTTCAAAATAACTTGACTGGAAATTTCTCCTTTGAAGACGCACTTGCTCTATTCTCCCACAGAGTGCTGTTTGTTCTAGGCTTTCTGTTCAGCATTGTTCTGCTGTCTTGTGTGTCAATCACTTGCATTCAGGCATTCATGAGCTCGCCATTCATTCATCTCTCGTTTCCTAAATCTCATCATCTCATACGCTCTCTCCAGATGGTTCTGTTTGCATGGACGTGTGTTGGCGTGGCTGTGACGTGCATCATCAGTCGTGTGTCACGCCTGAGAGAGTACAAGTGCATGTGCTTGGGTGTCTTAGACAGAGCACAAGTGTAAATGTTCCATCTGCAAGATCATTAGCGCTATTAATTTAGGGGTGAACAGAATGTGGGGAGAGACTAAAAAAAGATCAAGTTTGAAGCACAAATAACATTCTGTTGCTGGGGACAAAAAAGGCCATACTCCAATAACACAGTATACTACCTGCAATGGCTAGTGAGTGTATAAGAGTGGGTGTACACTAATGAACAGTTTCAGATGGAGTGTACACTACTGATTGCAGATGGAGTGCACACTAGTGAATATACATCAGATGTAACATACACTATTGTGAGTTTGTATCAGATGGAGTGTACACTAGTGAATATACATCAGATGTAGTGTACACTAGTGAATATTCAAAAGGAGTATACATTCATGAATATGTATTGGATAAAGTATACACTAGTGAATATTTATCAAATGGAGTATACAAGTGATTGAATCTGATGGTGTGTTCACTAATCAGTATGTAACAGATTAAGTTTACACTAGTGAATCAGATGGAGTATACATTCCTGAATATACATCATACTGAGGGTAGACTAGTGAATATTTATCAAAAGGAGTATACACTAGTGAGAGCATTAGATGGAGTGCATCAGACAGAATATACACTAGTGAGTGACAGCACTGGATGAAGTACACACTAATGTGTGCATCGAACATTAGTGTGCATTAGTGTACACTAATAAGCTTATCAGACGGAGTATACATTACTGAATATGAATTTGATGAAGAATACACTAGTGAATATTTATCAAATGGAATATACACTCTAATCACTAGAGTATACACTAATCAATTTGTATACGATTGAGTGTACACTAATGATAATTTTTCAGATTAATTATACATAAGCAAGTACATCAGATGGTGTGTTCACTATTCAGTATATAACAGATTAAGTTTACACTAGTGAATATTTTCAAATGAGTGTACACTGCTGAATATATATCAAATGGAGTATACACTAATGAGTATTTATCAAATACACTTGTGAGAACATTAGATGGTGTGCATCAGATGGAATATACACTGGTGAGTGAGTTGGACAGAATGCATCAGTGTACACTAGTGAGTGCACTGGATGGAGTGCATCAGAAGGAGTATACACAAGTGAAAGCGAGACAGTGTGCATTAGTGTACACTAATGTGCTTATCAGATTGAGTGTACATTAGTGAATATGTATCAGATGCAAATCATTTAGCATGAAGAATGAATGGAAGGATCATATAAAGTGTGTGATATGAGAAGGGGGGCTGGCATGAATTAGTCGGGGTGATTAAGAGACTGCGTCAGCAGCGTGGGGGTCTGCATCTTTTCCCTCTCATCCCCACCAAACTTCTGTTCTGAACTAAAAATAAGCCCTGCCAGAAGGCACCCAGAGAGGAAGACAGAATGTGTGTGTGAAGGACAGTTTGAATAAAGGTATCTGAATATAACAGATCGAACAACTCTGAAAATAACTGTATCAGTTGAACATATGGGAATTCACTAGCTGGAGCGGCTTGTTTTTGGTGGTTTGCGTCAGGTGTCCATCATACATTCATCACTCTCTCGAGATGACTGCTGATCTGCACTATGTTTAATCATGTAGCTCACACTGATTAAATCAAATCTCTCTTTTTCTGTCCAACTCTATTTTTGACAGGCAAGTTTGTTTAGGCTTTAGCTGAGATCATCTCTCTGGCTCAGGAATCTGTGCGTAAACACACGGGTGGTTTATTTCCTGTTTGTCAGCGAGTACGAGAACATTCTGAGGTGTTCAGCCTCACTCCTGCTGATTTCTTTTACACTCTGCTCCTCTTTCTTTCAAAGCCTTCATTCACACATGCATCCATTCTTTTCTGGCTGCACCTTGTCTTCTCACATGCCTTTTTTTATTAATGGTATGTTACCTTCTCCGATGGGACTACAAAAGTTTGTCATCTCCATCTGGTAAGTCTAGCACAATGAGATGAACTCAGGTCAGGTGAGTGAGACCTTGCAGTCCTTTTTATCCTGTTCCAGACGACAAAAGGATGAGGGACGGATTATTACTTTACTGCCACCTATTGGCTGATCTAAACAATAGCTTGCTTGCAAGTAAAAAGCCATTCATTCATCTCTCGTTTCCTAAATCTCATCATCTCCTCATACGCTCTCTCCAGATGGTTCTGTTTGCATGGACGTGTGTTGGCGTGGCTGTGACGTGCATCATCAGTCGTGTGTCACGCCTGAGAGAGTACAAGTGCATGTGCTTGGGTGTCTTAGACAGAGCACAAGTGTAAATGTTCCATCTGCAAGATCATTAGCGCTATTAATTTAGGGGTGAACAGAATGTGGGGAGAGACTAAAAAAAGATCAAGTTTGAAGCACAAATAACATTCTGTTGCTGGGGACAAAAAAGGCCATACTCCAATAACACAGTATACTACCTGCAATGGCTAGTGAGTGTATAAGAGTGGGTGTACACTAATGAACAGTTTCAGATGGAGTGTACACTACTGATTGCAGATGGAGTGCACACTAGTGAATATACATCAGATGTAACATACACTATTGTGAGTTTGTATCAGATGGAGTGTACACTAGTGAATATACATCAGATGTAGTGTACACTAGTGAATATTCAAAAGGAGTATACATTCATGAATATGTATTGGATAAAGTATACACTAGTGAATATTTATCAAATGGAGTATACAAGTGATTGAATCTGATGGTGTGTTCACTAATCAGTATGTAACAGATTAAGTTTACACTAGTGAATCAGATGGAGTATACATTCCTGAATATACATCATACTGAGGGTAGACTAGTGAATGTTTATCAAAAGGAGTATACACTAGTGAGAGCATTAGATGGAGTGCATCAGACAGAATATACACTAGTGAGTGACAGCACTGGATGAAGTACACACTAATGTGTGCATCGAACATTAGTGTGCATTAGTGTACACTAATAAGCTTATCAGACGGAGTATACATTACTGAATATGAATTTGATGAAGAATACACTAGTGAATATTTATCAAATGGAATATACACTCTAATCACTAGAGTATACACTAATCAATTTGTATACGATTGAGTGTACACTAATGATAATTTTTCAGATTAATTATACATAAGCAAGTACATCAGATGGTGTGTTCACTATTCAGTATATAACAGATTAAGTTTACACTAGTGAATATTTTCAAATGGAGTGTACACTGCTGAATATATATCAAATGGAGTATACACTAATGAGTATTTATCAAATACACTTGTGAGAACATTAGATGGTGTGCATCAGATGGAATATACACTGGTGAGTGAGTTGGACAGAATGCATCAGTGTACACTAGTGAGTGCACTGGATGGAGTGCATCAGAAGGAGTATACACAAGTGAAAGCGAGACAGTGTGCATTAGTGTACACTAATGTGCTTATCATATTGAGTGTACATTAGTGAATATGTATCAGATGCAAATCATTTAGCATGAAGAATGAATGGAAGGATCATATAAAGTGTGTGATATGAGAAGGGGGGCTGGCGTGAATTAGTCGGGGTGATTAAGAGACTGCGTCAGCAGCGTGGGGGTCTGCATCTTTTCCCTCTCATCCCCACCAAACTTCTGTTCTGAACTAAAAATAAGCCCTGCCAGAAGGCACCCAGAGAGGAAGACAGAATGTGTGTGTGAAGGACAGTTTGAATAAAGGTATCTGAATATAACAGATCGAACAACTCTGAAAATAACTGTATCAGTTGAACATATGGGAATTCACTAGCTGGAGCGGCTTGTTTTTGGTGGTTTGCGTCAGGTGTCCATCATACATTCATCACTCTCTCGAGGTGACTGCTGATCTGCACTATGATGGAATATACACTGGTGAGTGAGTTGGACAGAATGCATCAGTGTACACTAGTGAGTGCACTGGATGGAGTGCATCAGAAGGAGTATACACAAGTGAAAGCGAGACAGTGTGCATTAGTGTACACTAATGTGCTTATCAGATTGAGTGTACATTAGTGAATATGTATCAGATGCAAATCATTTAGCATGAAGAATGAATGGAAGGATCATATAAAGTGTGTGATATGAGAAGGGGGGCTGGCATGAATTAGTCGGGGTGATTAAGAGACTGCGTCAGCAGCGTGGGGGTCTGCATCTTTTCCCTCTCATCCCCACCAAACTTCTGTTCTGAACTAAAAATAAGCCCTGCCAGAAGGCACCCAGAGAGGAAGACAGAATGTGTGTGTGAAGGACAGTTTGAATAAAGGTATCTGAATATAACAGATCGAACAACTCTGAAAATAACTGTATCAGTTGAACATATGGGAATTCACTAGCTGGAGCGGCTTGTTTTTGGTGGTTTGCGTCAGGTGTCCATCATACATTCATCACTCTCTCGAGATGACTGCTGATCTGCACTATGTTTAATCATGTAGCTCACACTGATTAAATCAAATCTCTCTTTTTCTGTCCAACTCTATTTTTGACAGGCAAGTTTGTTTAGGCTTTAGCTGAGATCATCTCTCTGGCTCAGGAATCTGTGCGTAAACACACGGGTGGTTTATTTCCTGTTTGTCAGCGAGTACGAGAACATTCTGAGGTGTTCAGCCTCACTCCTGCTGATTTCTTTTACACTCTGCTCCTCTTTCTTTCAAAGCCTTCATTCACACATGCATCCATTCTTTTCTGGCTGCACCTTGTCTTCTCACATGCCTTTTTTTATTAATGGTATGTTACCTTCTCCGATGGGACTACAAAAGTTTGTCATCTCCATCTGGTAAGTCTAGCACAATGAGATGAACTCAGGTCAGGTGAGTGAGACCTTGCAGTCCTTTTTATCCTGTTCCAGACGACAAAAGGATGAGGGACGGATTATTACTTTACTGCCACCTATTGGCTGATCTAAACAATAGCTTGCTTGCAAGTAAAAATGTGCACCACCTGTTCAAGTCTGATATAAACTTTAGATATGTACAGTTATCCGTCATTTTAATAAAGTCTTCAAGAGCACATGTGAAAAAAATACAACTTTATTTCTTGAAACTAAAAGTAGTCTGACAAGTGCTGAAGTGTCTTTAAATACTCATTATAACAAATATTTTACGGTGCATTCATTTATATTTGTTCACACAATTTCAATCAGACAAAACAAAATTAAGCAGCCTCTGGAACTTTTGAAATACGAATGCTTCTCTTTGGAAACGTTTCATAAAATATTTAAAAACATGTTTTGTACAACAAACCGAGGAATGATTGTGTCACCAACGTTTCTAGTGGCAAGATGAGTTTGTATCTTTCGTCTAGATACTGCACCTGTGTGTGTTTGAGAAAGACAGTGAGTGACAGAAAGAGATATATAGAGAGAATATGATGTGTGTGTGGGGGGGGGGTTTAAGGCCAGAGAATAAAAGCTAGGGAGAAAAACAAGAAAAGGAACAAAAACTATAAATTATAATAAACACAAATTTCAAACAAGAGAGAGGAGAGGAGAAGAGGAATCAGTTTTACAGCCCAATTTGGAAGAAGAACATTTAAGAGACAGCATCTATCCAGAACATGATCTACCACTCTGATAAACACGAGAGAAGGACACATCTATACACACCTTCTCTTCAATCTCTTTGATTTGTCTTCTCTGCATGTCAATCTTATCTTCAAGTTCTCTGATCCTCTGTAAGTCAAATGATAAAACACCAAATCATTCTTGAATGAAACACAAAAAGAGATATTTAGAAGACTGTCCAAGCTGATTTATTTCATACAGTGAAAGTGAATAGGAACCAGGGACAGTCATCCACTTTCGTTATGTGGAAGAACAGCTTGGACAAGTACTTTTTTGGCAATTTTACTAATGAACGCATGCACAGATCCCGACCTGCTGCGCAGACTGGAGGAGCTCCATGCGCTGTTGTAGGACGAGCGTGTCGGCATGGCGACTCTGCCGCAGGATCTGTCTCCGCACTGCATCCATTGACTCGGCCAGCTTCGCTCGCTGCCTGTCACTCAAACTCTCCCCCACACAGCTGTCTGGATCCTGCTGCAGGGCAGCGTATAATGTGGCCTCCAGCTCCTGCACTGTTATGTGGAAGAACAGCTTGGACAAGTACTTTTTTGGCAATTTTACTAATGAACGCATGCACAGATCCCGACCTGCTGTGCAGACTGGAGGAGCTCCATGCGCTGTTGTAGGACGAGCGTGTCGGCATGGCGACTCTGCCGCAGGATCTGTCTCCGCACTGCATCCATTGACTCGGCCAGCTTCGCTCGCTGCCTGTCACTCAAACTCTCCCCCACACGGCTGTCTGGATCCTGCTGCAGGGCAGCGTATAATGTGGCCTCCAGCTCCTGCACCCTCTAAACACAACAAACAAGCATGTACACAATGCTTTATAAACGGTAATAAGTTTGGCCAGATTATATAGTGAAATTGGTTTTTAAACAGTTTCACATCTTTTCATGAATTTATTATTGTCATATACTTTTGGTCAAACTGGCCGAACTGGCACTTGCCACAAGTATGGTACAAATTGATGTCCTGTCACTTTCTAAAAGGAAATTAAGGTACTCATTGTACAAAATAACAATTTTAAATTAATATTTTAAACTTACTGTAATCACTAAAAATACATTACTTTCCCAATAAACCAATATACTTTCCCATTACTTTGTTTTTGTCAGACTTTACCATATAACCGTTATCATGTAAGAAAAATGAGCAAAATACACTTCCTGTGATAAACTACCAATGTGACACTACTGCTTAAAAGTTTGGGCTCAGTAAGATGCTTTTAAAAACTACTTTCAACCCCAAATTTTTAAATATTAGTGTATACAGTATATTATTTCATTTATGATAAATAGAATTTAATCACGACATTTGTTTCCAAACTAGCTATCTGCTACTGAGTGACAGTTTAATTAAAGTTAAATCTGAAACACTATTGCCCAAAACACTATTTTGGTATATTTTCATTTCAGTAGAACCTTGGAATTAATTATTTTTGTGTAATTATAATGTTTATTTATTGTTTATTTTTCAATAATAAATAAAATAAAATTACATGCAAAAATATTTTACACAAATATGCAAATATATGACCCTGGAACCTGTCTTAATAGCAGAGGTATATTTGTAGCAATAGCCAAAAATACGTTGTATGGGTCAAAAGCATGGCGACTCTGCCGCAGGATCTGTCTCCGCACTGCATCCATTGACTCGGCCAGCTTCGCTCGCTGCCTGTCACTCAAACTCTCCCCCACACAGCTGTCTGGATCCTGCTGCAGGGCAGCGTATAATGTGGCCTCCAGCTCCTGCACCCTCTAAACACAACAAACAAGCATGTACACAATGCTTTATAAACGGTAATAAGTTTGGCCAGATTATATAGTGAAATTGGTTTTTAAACAGTTTCACATCTTTTCATGAATTTATTATTGTCATATACTTTTGGTCAAACTGGCCGAACTGGCACTTGCCACAAGTATGGTACAAATTGATGTCCTGTCACTTTCTAAAAGGAAATTAAGGTACTCATTGTACAAAATAACAATTTTAAATTAATATTTTAAACTTACTGTAATCACTAAAAATACATTACTTTCCCAATAAACCAATATACTTTCCCATTACTTTGTTTTTGTCAGACTTAACCATATAACCGTTATCATGTAAGAAAAATGAGCAAAATACACTTCCTGTGATAAACTACCAATGTGACACTACTGCTTAAAAGTTTGGGCTCAGTAAGATGCTTTTAAAAACTACTTTCAACCCCAAATTTTTAAATATTAGTGTATACAGTATATTATTTCATTTATGATAAATAGAATTTAATCACGACATTTGTTTCCAAACTAGCTATCTGCTACTGAGTGACAGTTTAATTAAAGTTAAATCTGAAACACTATTGCCCAAAACACTATTTTGGTATATTTTCATTTCAGTAGAACTTTGGAATTAATTATTTTTGTGTAATTATAATGTTTATTTATTGTTTATTTTTCAATAATAAATAAAATCAAATTACATGCAAAAATATTTTACACAAATATGCAAATATATGACCCTGGAACCTGTCTTAATAGCAGAGGTATATTTGTAGCAATAGCCAAAAATACGTTGTATGGGTCAAAATTATGAATTTTCTTTTATGCCAAAAAAAGTCAAGTATTAAGTAAAGATCATGTTCCATGAAGATAATTTGTAAATTTCCTACTGTAAATATATAAAAACTTAATTTTTGATTAGTAATATGCATTGCTAAGGACTTCATTTGGACAACTTTAAATTTCTCAATATTTTGATTTTTTGCATCCTCAGATTCCAGATTGTCAAATAGTTGCATATCGGCCAAATATTGTCCTATCCTAACAAACTAAACATCAATGGAAAGCTTATTTATTCAGCTTCCAGAAGATGCATAAATCTCAATTTCGAAAAATTGACCCTTATGTGGTCCAGGGTCACATACTGTATATGTATCTTGGCCAAATAGTACATTTACTTTGTTTTATATTTAGCCTCTCCTGTGGTAAGCCAACAACATTTATTTTGCCGTCACATTGTTGAGAATAAAATCTAGCAAAAACATTTGTAAAAGTATTCACATATACACACTGATTATACGCAAGTATCCGTTTACACTGCTACATAATCTCAAAGTCCTACCAGTTGGGACTGATCGAGAGCTTGCTTCCTGTAGTCTAGTTCCTCTTCCAGGAAACCTTTCTGTTTACTGAACAGCTCCTGTTGATAACATCAGTTCACCACGGTCAAGACAGGAGCACACACAAATGATACATTTTTAATCAAGTGTCATCAAGCCTCATCTATCACTAGACCAGCTGTTAGAACAAACAGTACAACACATTCATCTCAGATGACACGAATGGATGTTCTCACCTTTTCATTCTCCAGATCAATCATTTTCTGTGTCAGGGCTGCCTCAGTGCTGTCGATCTGCTTCAGCCACTGGTCACAAAGACATAACAATACAATAGAACCACTGACAAAATATAAGCCATCTTATCTTTGAAGATTTAGAGAATGAAGGAGATGATACCTTTTCACATAAAGACAGCACAGTGCCTGCTTGAATGACTGTCACTTGCTCCTCGTTTCGCAAGTTCTGCCAAAGATAATTGTTCATTTCAACTCTCTTTTTTTTTAAGAAACAGGAGTAATGCGTGCACATATAATGGCAAAAAACATACCCCATTATCCCCAAGAATGTCAAGCTTTTTCATGAGGTCAGGAATGATGACATCCTAAACCAAACACACATGAAGATGAGGCCAACATACAGTATGTTATATGCAACTGTGTGAAGTGTGCAATTTATTGTATTGTATATGAATTGTATAGTATAAAGCAGGGTTCCTCAAATCTTACCCTGGAGGTCCATTGCGCTGCAGAGTTTAGCTCCAACCCTGATCAAACTCACCTACCTGTGATTTTCTAATGATCCTGAAGACATTGATTAGCATGCTCAGGTGTGTTTGATTAGGGTTAGAGCTAAACTCTGCAGGAAAGTGGATCTCGTGGGCCAGATTTGAGGATCCCTGGTATAAAGTATATTGTATCATTGTATATTGTATACAATGGAGCTAAACTGACACATTCCTTCAACCACACATTACAATAGTAAGTATAGTTTTGAATTAAGTACCTTAACATTAGTAACTTAGATGGTCATATGCCAGTAGTGTGTGGGTTTTACCTTGACACCCTCTTGCTGGCAGTGTAGCTGTAGGATACTGTTGTTTTCAGAGGCAGAGATTTGCAGGTTAAAGGCAGGAGAACGGCGTTCCCTCTCCTATTGTTTAAAAAAAAAAAAAAAAAAGGAATTTGTGGTGAAATATAGAGAAAGCATTTTTTGGGGGGGCGTAATAGTATCTGGAGAGAAACTTTACTTTTAAAGTAATAGTTAAATAATTAAATATTTCGGGATTGTTCAACCAAAAATAAAACTTTCTTCAGATGGACACAAAAGGTACCTGTTCAACAATATCCAGACATCTCTTCAAAGTACAAAAAATGAGTAGTCACCGAGAGGGGCCAAAAATGACAAAATGAAGCACATAAAGACGGTCCATGTCTTCTTAAGTCATACAAATTAGGTATTTTTATTACACAAACGCTATTATATGACTTCAAGAGACTGGGAATTTATTAACACTATGCACTATGCACATTTACGGTACTTTAATGTGTATTTTTTCATCATTATTGAAGCATGACAGAGCCACTCTTGTGAAAAAGACATGCACTTAATTGTACTGAATATGTACTTGCAGTGTACTTTAAAGAATATTTTTTTAAAAACTGTACTTGCAGATAATATATAGATGAGATAAAACACAATTTAAGTGTAATAAAAGTGAGTACACTTTCATGACTGTTTCTTCACGCACTATACAATTAAAAAGTACACTTTGTAATGTAATTAAATTTTGACTTCATAGTAAATGTAAATAATGGTTTAACTGATCTGTTGTCATGATTTAAAGAAAACAATGTGCATTTAAGCGTCCAAAAACATTACATTTACTTTACACGTAAGTATATTGTCTTAAAGCATATTATGAAAATGTAAACTTTTACTATATTTTAAAAGTATGCTAAGGGCAGTTTCTTTTTACTTGCATGAAAAGATTAGCTTGGATTTTCTTCAAATATTCATTATCTGTGTTTAACAGAATTCAGAAAGTAATATGGGTTTGAAGCAACTTAAAAGGTAGTGGTGACATTTTTGACATTCAAATACTGTACATAGGATGCTTATAAAAGACTTAAACATACAGATGAGTTCATATCACACTTCATACATTATGGAACAGATACTTTGAATGTTGTTGAATATTGTAGGCTCTGTGACAATCGGCTTATGGTCCTCTACTGTAAGTCACTTTGGATAAAAGTGTCTGCAAAATGCATAAATAAATGTAGAAACCACTACTGATCACATGACCTAACTACAATTAGAAGATCATCCATGTGTTCAATATTAAGGAATTAAAATACTTTTTTTTTGATTAGGGTTAGAGCTAAACTCTGCAGGAAAGTGGATCTCGTGGGCCAGATTTGAGGATCCCTGGTATAAAGTATATTGTATCATTGTATATTGTATACAATGGAGCTAAACTGACACATTCCTTCAACCACACATTACAATAGTAAGTATAGTTTTGAATTAAGTACCTTAACATTAGTAACTTAGATGGTCATATGCCAGTAGTGTGTGGGTTTTACCTTGACACCCTCTTGCTGGCAGTGTAGCTGTAGGATACTGTTGTTTTCAGAGGCAGAGATTTGCAGGTTAAAGGCAGGAGAACGGCGTTCCCTCTCCTATTGTTTAAAAAAAAAAAAAAAAAAGGAATTTGGGGGGAAAAATAAAGAAAGCATTTTTTGGGGGGGGGTAATAGTATCTGGAGAGAAACTTTACTTTTAAAGTAATAGTTAAATAATTAAATATTTCGGGATTGTTCAACCAAAAATAAAACTTTCTTCAGATGGACACAAAAGGTACCTGTTCAACAATATCCAGACATCTCTTCAAAGTACAAAAAATGAGTAGTCACCGAGAGGGGCCAAAAATGACAAAATGAAGCACATAAAGACGGTCCATGTCTTCTTAAGTCATACAAATTAGGTATTTTTATTACACAAACGCTATTATATGACTTCAAGAGACTGGGAATTTATTAACACTATGCACTATGCACATTTACGGTACTTTAATGTGTATTTTTTCATCATTATTGAAGCATGACAGAGCCACTCTTGTGAAAAAGACATGCACTTAATTGTACTGAATATGTACTTGCAGTGTACTTTAAAGAATATTTTTTTAAAAACTGTACTTGCAGATAATATATAGATGAGATAAAACACAATTTAAGTGTAATAAAAGTGAGTACACTTTCATGACTGTTTCTTCACGCACTATACAATTAAAAAGTACACTTTGTAATGTAATTAAATTTTGACTTCATAGTAAATGTAAATAATGGTTTAACTGATCTGTTGTCATGATTTAAAGAAAACAATGTGCATTTAAGCGTCCAAAAACATTACATTTACTTTACACGTAAGTATATTGTCTTAAAGCATATTATGAAAATGTAAACTTTTACTATATTTTAAAAGTATGCTAAGGGCAGTTTCTTTTTACTTGCATGAAAAGATTAGCTTGGATTTTCTTCAAATATTCATTATCTGTGTTTAACAGAATTCAGAAAGTAATATGGGTTTGAAGCAACTTAAAAGGTAGTGGTGACATTTTTGACATTCAAATACTGTACATAGGATGCTTATAAAAGACTTAAACATACAGATGAGTTCATATCACACTTCATACATTATGGAACAGATACTTTGAATGTTGTTGAATATTGTAGGCTCTGTGACAATCGGCTTATGGTCCTCTACTGTAAGTCACTTTGGATAAAAGTGTCTGCAAAATGCATAAATAAATGTAGAAACCACTACTGATCACATGACCTAACTACAATTAGAAGATCATCCATGTGTTCAATATTAAGGAATTAAAATACTTTTTTAAAAAAAAAAGTAGAATGCTGAAGGACTAATATATATAGTGAATGGAGGTCCTGGGCTGGTGTGGTTACACGTGGTCTGCGGTTGTGAGACCGGTTGGATGTACTGCCAAATTCTCTGAACCACCTTTGGAGATGGCTTATGGTAGAGAAATTAACATTCAATTCACGGGCAACAGCTCTGGTGGACATTCCTGCAGTCAGCATGCCAATTTGCACGCTCCCTCAAAACTTGCGACATCTGTGGCATTGTGCTGTGAGATAAAACTGCACAGTTTAGATTGGCCTTTTATTGTGGCCAGCCTAAAGCTCACCTGAGCAATAATCATGCTGTCTAATCAGCATCTTGATATGCCACACTGTGAGGTACACACACATAAGAGAGAGAGAGAGAGATGTCTTTGTTGGTTGGGCTCCAATGACATTCAGAATATCTTCTGTGTTCCGCAGAGAGAGTCATACATGTTTGGAGTAACAAAAGGGTGACAGAATTTGAATTTCTGGGGGAACTGTCCCTTTAAGCACACTCAAACAACCTAATGTTTCAACTGAATTACTTACAAACCACACGCTTTGAGTCATTTCTGTAATCAAACAGTATGAACTTAATTATATGCAGTAATTTAAATGAAGAAAGAGCTCTTTCTAATTGGCAGCTGCAGTTACCGTATACTGCAAATTGGATTCTGTAAATGAAATAACTTCTCCCAAATATTTCACAATGATCACACAGAAATATTCAACATCTCATAGAAGACGTATAAGATTGTACAAGCATAAAAAAAAGAGTACATAGTACATGGGATGAACAATGATCTGCTGACTGAAATGTTGACATGACCATTAAATAATAGTGAATTTGTGTGTACACAAATAAAAACACATGCAGGAAGTGCAGTCAAAAAGAAAAAATAAATAGTGAGGAGTTTCATTCAAATTAATTTTATTCCACTAAAACTTATAATTAACAAAACAATAGTGATATAAATATACAGTTCTTGAAACAGAAAAAAAAACATATAAAATGTGTATGAAAATATCTATAGCAACATGAAAACAACTCAAAGCAGTGCCAGTTTTGTGTATGTGGGGTAAAATGGATTCATGTATGTAGCTTGTGTAGACATGAGCCGGGTTTGGCCGTCCCTGTTTGCTGCTGTGGGAGCAAAACAGATTCTATTTTATTCCACTAAAACTTATAATTAACAAAACAATAGTGATATAAATATACAGTTCTTGAAACAGAAAAAAAAACAGAAAATGTGTATGAAAATATCTATAGCAACATGAAAACAACTCAAAGCAGTGCCAGTTTTGTGTATGTGGGGTAAAATGGATTCATGTATGTAGCTTGTGTAGACATGAGCCGGGTTTGGCCGTCCCTGTTTGCTGCTGTGGGAGCAAAACAGATTCTCTTACTTCCAGTTCTAGAATGCGGAATTCAAGCAGCTCATTCTGATCCACGGTGTCTTGAACTTCCGAGCGTAATCGCATTTCACAATGCTCCAGCGATACTATCTACCACACACACACACACACACACAAGAAGAATGTTAAGCGTTTATGTTTGAGTATATGTAGTTTGTAGGAAACAAGGCTATACCTTTTCTCTGAGTTCCTGGTTCACCCTGAGAAGATTTTGCTTTTCCTCCACCCATTTTGAGTCCTGCATAACAAAGCCACACACACACACACACACCACTACAAATTACACTACTAGAACTTAACTAACACTCCTATTATCACTAATCACACACACAATCCACACTCTTGTGTACTTGTCAACCCAAATATTCTCAGATCAATTATCAAATAATCAGTTTTAAACATTGAGCTCAGCATTAACAAAGAAACACATAGAGAAAAAAAAGAGAGAAGTTAAAGATGGAAAAATGGCTGAGATTTATTAGATCGCATGCAGGTAATTCCATTTCCATATTTTACAGGGGAAAAAAACAATAAGAGACAAGCATAGAGCAGAAAGGAAATACATGCAAGAGCAGGCTGACCAATTACAAACTGGTTCAGCCTTTAACTGAAAATTTAGTTTTTACTATTGTAATTTTGCATTATTGACACACTATTTTCCTATTTAATGCTGTAAAATTGCTTTTGACACAATCTGTATTGTTAAAAGCACTATATAAATAAAGGTGACTTGACTTGACTGATCATTAAGACAAAAATAGCTATGTTCGGAATTGCATACTACAATACTACTTATGATTTATTACAACAGGGAAACAATGCATTTCCATTACCAGTGTTCCAGTGTGAACTGGAACTAATATAAACTTTGATTTATAACTTTTTTGTTTTGAACAAAAATTTGAGTAAAAATACTACATTTTTATTTCTAAAATAATAGATGGTCAACATTCACCTAATTAAACATGCAACATGATCAGATCATGCATAAACATTGTTGCACGCTACTGTTTGAAACATTTAGCAAATGCAGAATAATTCATAGTTCTGTTTCACATAATATTAAAGGGTCATGAAACACTAAACTACGTTTTCTGAAAAGACAATGTTAGCATCCGTTAATTTTTTTAATTATAGAAGAAATCTGGTTAAGCTTTTGGTGCTATTTTCGTCTTAATCATGTTTCATCACATAAATTCTCTTCCATAAATCCAAATCATTTTCATAACAATCAAAGGATGTGTGTGTATTTAATGTACAAAACCATGGTCGATATATTTGATGCATGAAACCACGTATAATATATTTGTTTATTTGCATGTTTTTTTGGGAAACGTGATGCATTTAACTTAATGAAAGTACACATGACTAAATCAGAAGCTAGATCCATTGTGTTGTCTGTCTCCCCTCTTCTTCCTCTACTCTACAGCTTACCACAACCGGTTTTGTACCATTTTTCAGAACTGTGGAGAGAACTAATGGATGTTGAAATAGCATGCAACAGTTCCAGAAGCACAAAACTAAATTTCTCCCTATAGGGGAATTTTTAAGTAAAAAAAAAAAAAGAAGGATTTTTATGACTTACAAACCTTTAAGACAGACCTGTTGTGAGCTCTGGAGTTTTTAATTGATGGTATATCCTTTTGTTGAAGCCACAGGCCACATTATTTCAACATATTTTTAAAATAACCAAATTTAACAGCAGAATTTGTAGTGAGAAACTATATTTCCCATGATGCTGTTCAGAAAATCCCACCAATCACCGCACCAAAAAAGTGCTCTGGAGGGAACGCCCACTCCCATGTAGCACGCAAATGATGTAATTACATCTCCAAACACCCTAAAATACTTTATATATTTATATGTGTGTGTGTGCATATATATATATATATATATATATATATATATATATAAAAAAGTCAGGCCAATATATATTTGGACACAGGCGACTAGAAATGACGGTTCAATACTAAGGATTTTTTTCTGCTGGCCCTGCCACAAAAAAAAAAAGTTTCCTTTATCATTGTTTTTGATCTATGTTATCTTGTATTTTAATAAATAAGTTTATATGACACCAATATTTTAGATACAAATAAAATTGTACAATTCTCGATTTCAATTTCAGCCAAAACTACTAGCCTGACAAATATAAAGTTCAATCATTATTAAAGA